CGTCGTCGTCGTCGTCGTCTCTGTTTCTCCCACCTTTCTTTCTCTCATCGACTCAAAGTCTCTTCCTTTTTCATTAATTTCACTCCACTGTCCACGGACTCTGCTAGCTTTCCGTTCCCTTCTTTTTACTTTTCCCTGTGTTTACCAAACACACCCTTCTCTCTCTCTTTCTTCTTATGGCCCTACGTGCTTTCATCTTCTCCACTTGTCGGTGGGGACTACGACATAGCGCATTGCAATATTAATTGCGTTTCTCTGTCTCTTTCCGCCTCCGGTTACGGTTGCCCTCCGGCAAATTGAAAGCTTCTCCTCCCCTCTCTTCTGCTCCGACGTTCCATGCACCGTCCGAACTCTGTCAGTCTGTCCTCAACTTGTCATAGGTAAATGAATGATGTTACCTGAAAGTGAAATTTCCGCAGCATTTGGAAACTCCTTTTTTTTCTTTTTTTCTTTTTTTCTTTTTTTTTTTCGGTTTACGTTTTGATTGCTGCTGCTTTAATTAGGCTTTTGTTTCTTAATTAACTTGAAATCACATTTTTGTTTGGGATTTTGTGCTTTGAATTCACGTTTAGAAGTATTAGCAGAAGAAGTATTTTTGCTTTTACTTCTCGAAAATGTGGGTATTGATTGTTGTTTATACAGAGTGCTCTTCATTTCTCCGTTTCAGTAAATGGAGGAACCATTCAGCCTTGCGTGATAGCAAATGTCTTTGATACGGTGATACTGTAAGAATTTTGCATGATTCTGAGTTTGTATGGTAATGCCAAGATAGAATCATAGATATTCTTGCAATTTTCTGTGTGCAGAGATTATTGAAAGTCATTTTGTGTTATAGTTTTTCTTTATTATTATTATTATTTTTTTTTCACTCTTCTGCTTTCTCCTGATCTAACTTTAAGAAAGGATGAATTTATAGAAACTTGGAAACAGATGAGATGCATTCTGAAACATTGATTTTACTTTGAATGAGAAGACATTAAGCCTTACAGTGTAGTTCAAACCGTTGGGGAGTTTCAATGTTTTCTATGCAATTGATCATCATTCATGCTACTGTTACATTATCTTGAGCTAAAGGCTGTGGTTCTTGGTTTCTTTTCCTGGGCATTAAAGAATTTTCTTGGTACCTTTGGAATTAAGAATACATATTTCCAATGAAATTAGAAGAATAGTGGCATAATATGGTCTCAGTAATTGTGGAAGGGATGATTTATATAGACATTGTTATATTTATGTTAGCACACTATTCTAAGTGAGACAGTACAAATAAAACATTCATTTTCAATGCAGTTATCCTCCTTTGAAGCTTTGAAGTATTCAAGCCGTGCTGAGCAGAATAATGGACCATAAGACTTGGCTTTGGAGGAAAAAATCGTCAGAGAAATTGATTCTTACACCTGACAAAGCAAACCACTCGCAGAAAGGCAATGAGGAAGAGGTAAATCAGGCGGGGTCTGTAAACTTAGATAATTTAATTAGCTTTCTTATGTCTGTCTGAAGTTTCTGAAGAATTTCCACCTTGCATTTTTGTTTTGATCAATTTTATATACACTTGGATCTTCTGGTACATTTTATTCTTTTCTGCCTAGATACAGACTCTTGTGGACAATAAAGGAGAATTGGAAAATGAGATGAAAATTTTGAAGGATAAACTCTCTTCTGCCCTCTCTGAGTGTAGTGAGAAAGATGAACTTGTCAAAAACCATGCAACAATGATGCAGGAAGCTGTTGCTGGTAAGATAAAAATTTCCCCCCTTCATCTCCTTTTGAACTTATCTTTTCAATCTGGTTGATTGCTTAATAATTCACTTCCTGTCAAGTTCCATATTTCTCTGGATATAATTTAGCTGGCTTTTTATCTGTACTTTTCATGTAGGCTGGGAGAAGGCTAAAGTGGAGATAGCATCTCTAAGACAAGACCTTGATACAGCCTTGCAGCATAGAGTTGTCATGGAAGAAAGATCTACTCAATTAGATGCTGCTCTCAAGGAATGTATGCAACAATTACGCTTTGTTCGGGAAGAACAAGAGCAAAGAATTCATGATGCTGTGATGAAGGCATCAAACGAATATGAAAAATCTCAGATGCTTTTAGAGGAGAAGTTGGCAGATACCAGCAAAAGGCTTTCTAAAGTGGGGGCTGAGAATAGCAATATAAGTAAGGCTCTCTTAGCAAAGGAAAAACAGATTGAAGATTTAAACAAACAAAGGGCTCAGATGGAGGCAGATTTTAATGCACTGATGACAAGACTAGATTCCAAAGAGAAAGAAAATGCTTCTCTAAAATATGAGGTTCGAGTGCTTGAGAAGGAGGTTGAGATTAGGAATGAAGAGAGAGAATTTAACCGCCGAACAGCTGAAGCATCACACAAGCAACACTTAGAGAGTGTGAAGAAAATTGCTAAGCTAGAATCAGAATGTCAAAGGCTACGCCTCCTAGTCAGAAAGAGGTTGCCAGGTCCTGGTGCCTTGGCTAAAATGAAAAATGAAGTTCAAATGCTTGGGAGGGACTCAGCAGAAATTAGAAGGAGAAAGTCAAATTCTACTGCTGGTGAGGTCATGAATGACTATGCAGTCGATGACTTCCAAGAAGCTCCTGGAAAAAGGATAAGCATCCTAATGGAGCAGTTATGTGCTATGGAAGAAGAAAACAAGGTTCTCAAGGAAGCCCTTATTAAGAAAACCAATGAACTTCAATTCTCAAGAGTCATGAATGCTCAAACAGCTTCCAGATTATCAGATGTTGAATCACGGCTTGAAGAACCATCAAAATGTCAGACAAACATGGAGCCAACCAGGAAAAGTGTCATTCAACATCAACTTTCTCTGGTATCCATGTCTGATATTAGCAGCGATGATAAGGCTAGCTGTGCAGAGTCCTGGGCTTCTGCTTTAATTTCTGAATTGGAGCATTTCAGGAATGGAAGATTGACGGGGTTGCCATCATGCAAAAGTGTAGGATCCTCAGACATAAATCTGATGGATGACTTTGTTGAAATGGAAAAATTAGCATTAGTTTCTGTTGATAAGCCATCTGGGAATCTTCTTGTCTCTTCAGAGGAAGGAAATATCCCTATTGGTCCCTTGCATAATGGGGCAGGTAGAAATTATTCAGAGGCAATGCCAAGAAAGGTAGTTAGTGTTCCTGACAGTCAAGCTGACTTCAGTGTCTTAAACAGGAAATCAGACTCCAAAAATCCATCTATTTCTAGAGTTCCTGATTGGCTTCAGGATATACTGAAAATAATCTTGGAGCAAAACCGTGCAACAAAAAGAAACCCAGATGACATACTTGAGGATATTAAAAAAGCTTTGGTATGTATAATCCATCTGAAGACTGGTGAATTTCTTTATGAAAAGGAGAAACCTTCAAATGTATCTTCATGGATGGATTCTTTTGGTGGGAATACTGACATTGACATTTCATTGGCAAAGAAGAGCAGCCAGCAGTTCCAGTCTGATCTGAGTAAATCATTATGCAGAATAATTGAGCTTATAGAAGGAATCAACCTGCCATTGCCAGACTACAGTATCCCAGAGACATTGTCAAAGGAGGAAAACCATTTGTCAGACAAGCACTCAGAAACCCCTTCAGGCTACATGGTTCGTGTTTTCCAGTGGAAAACTTCTGAACTCTGCACTGTTTTGCGGCAATTTGTACATGCTTGTTATGATCTGTTGAATGGAAAGAGTGACCTCAAAAAATTTGCCCAAGAGTTAACTTCTGCTTTGGACTGGATCATGAACCATTGCTTTTCCCTTCAAGATGTTTCAAGCATGAGAGATGAAATTAAGAAGCACCTTGACTGGGATGAGTCACGAAGTGAAAGCGAAACAGAAGTTGGAGTTGTTGGTCATTTTGCAGTAGAAGATAAGTCACAGCTCCCTGCTCCATATCGTCAAAAAGCTCTCTTCCAAAACAAGCAGTCTAATGTGAGAGAAGATATAAAAAATTTAAGTGATGAATTGATTAATATTGAAGCTGAAAACAAAAATCTGAAGGAGAAGCTCCATTCAACTGTCAATCCAAGGTACTCTCACATAAATCAACTGGATGAATCAGAAAAAACCATTGCAGACCTGCAGACAGAGTTAGAAACTTTGAAGAAAGCAAAGGGAATGATTGATGGTCAACTTGAAAAACCAATCTTGATCAATGAAGATTTCAACACACAGCCTGCATTGACAAAAGTGGAACTAAATGAGGCTAGTCAAAAATTTCCAACTGCCAAATTTGAATCAGAGAATAAAAGTATCTGCTCTGTAGAGCCAGCGGCCACACTTCTAGAGGGGTATTGTCCATTACAAAAATTCTCTTTTTTAATTAAGAAAATGGTTACTTTTACTTGCACCGTTCAGGGTCTCATCAGAATATTTTTGTCGTCTTCAGTGTTACAAAGGAAATCCCAAATTCTGAAGTCAAGAAGGAAGAAAGACATCTTCGAGCTGTAAGTTCATATATTTTTCATATGCAGATCAGATAACAGTGGAAATGATTTCTTTTCATATTATTGCATTCTGGATGAGAATTGCATGCATGTTATTATTTCCTAACTATTGTGCCATGTAAATTTTCTCTTACCTGTTCAATGCACAAGGTTGACCTTATAGAGCATGTAAAATTGTAAATCTATAATTAACAAGCTTGATCATTTGGCAGGACTGGGAGATCTCAGCTGCTTCAGAAAAGTTGGCTGAATGCCAAGAAACTATTCTTAACTTGGGGAAGCAGTTAAAGGCATTGTCATCTCCAAAAGAAGCAGCCCTCTTTGACAAGGTCATTTCCAGCCCTTCCAATGCAATCACAACAGCCTCTGCAACCTCAAGCCAACCTGAGAACAAGATGACCAGCCAGAGGTCCTCTCTACTGGATCAGATGTTAGCCGAAGACACTGCAGAAGCGAAGGTTCTCAAGTCTCCTAAAACCAAACAAAATAATGGCAACTCTGATTCTTCTTCCATTACTAATGGCCCATTAGAGTCATTAGAAAATGTCTTTGTTTTAAATGAATCCAAACATGAGAAAGACGATGGTACAATTAAATCTTTAGCCATTGTTCCCAGCAAAAAACAAGGTCGGAACTTGTGGAGAAGGTTATTGTGGAGGAAAAAGAAAGGTAACAGCAAGAAAGCTGCCCTACAAGTTGCTCCACCACAGTTAATTACATAGAAGAAAGTTAAGGTGATAAATAGCTCACCTTTTTCTTTTGCTGGATTTTGGAGTGCAAATAAATAAAGTTTTCCCTTTGATGAGACAGAGAGCTGGTTGTATGTTCTACTGCTGTATATATAACTGAAACCCAGAAAAGGAGAACTGATCAACATTGAAGGAAAAATAGCATGAAGTATTGTGGAATGTGGAGTTTTGACAGTTTGGCATGAGAATGTTTTGTGAAGGAGCTTGACTTGAGGTTTTCTTGTGATTTTTCTTCATGTGTTCTTGCTAATACCATTGATTTTCCTGTACTTGATAAACAATAAGAATAAGATTATGTTTGGTGTGCTATTGGAACAGTTGATCAACCATTGTAGAGATCATATGCCTCAATGAATGCTTTGAAGAACATTTCCTTGTATTTGAATCGCGAAAAGAAAGAATACAGATTTGTGTTGATGCCAAACTACAATAAAAAGGAGGTCAAGCAATGTTTCTTACAATGTCCTGCATTTTTTTTTTTTTCTCATTCAAGGCCATACCCCTGTAGGACATGCTTTCTTTCACAACACCTAAGAACAGGCAAAAATGCAATCAAAACTGAAAACCAAAGAAATTTCAAACGAAATCCACTCAGTCTTTAAAGAGCACAAATCTTGCAATATCTTGGAGTCCAGCCTCTTCATAACATTTGGCAATCTGATCCACAGAGTCATCCCAAGTCCCTTCCAAAGATGCTAAATCCAACAAAAAAGCAGCTTCATCCAGTGCAATCTGTAAAATATTTTATCATGAAGGGGAAAGAACATTGAGAGAGTGAAGTAACAAAGATGTAAGAGTTTTTGTTCAAACATCTATGTGTTCAAATTAAACAACATAACAGAAGGTGCAACTTGTAACTAATGAACCTGAGCAGGAGGCTTTCCCTTGTTTAGATCTTCTTGCTTTCCCTCTTCTGCGATTTTCTCTTTAATATACTCAATTTGCTCATCCTCCCATTCTGCTATATGAGCAACTTCCTGGAGAATTATTTATTATGACAAAAAAGAAAAACTAATTCAAGAAAGGGCAGGGAAAAAAAAAAAAGACTGGAAAGGAGATGAACCAGGCTCCCACACCTCGTACTTACAACCCAGAGTCCACCATGGTGATTTTAGAGCACCCCTGGCGGCATCTTTAGCTTCTTGTTTATGACCAACCCTACAAAAATATTAGGTATTATGAACATTTGATATATTATTTGAATAGAGCAGGAACAAACTCCAGAAAAAAAGGAAAGAGTTACAACATACTTCAGTAAAATCTCAGCATTGAACACAAAAGGCCGTGCAAAGCCTGGAAAATGCTTGTTCTTTGTATAGAACTCCCCAGTCACCAGAGCTGAAACCTTTTCTAACACAAACACAAGGAACAACGTTAACTAGTTAACTAGTATGTGTAACACCACCAAATAGCAACTCCAGACAGGCAGTCATACATGGTCACCTTTCTCAAAATGTTGCATTACTTTGCGTTCCAGGATATCTGGAAATAAACCAACCTAAAATCAAGATGTTTATTATTACAGTTACATCAAATAGCTGAAAATATAACCAAGCTCAAACAGATGAAAATATCATTACCTTTCTCATAAGATAGACATCTATATCTGAAATCTGAGATTTGGCAAAGTCCCCCGTTTTATATAGTTCCTCCCCAGCACTTGCTGCAGCATGAAATAGCTTGCCACTACCTTCAAGGCCGTTGCCAGCATCATCTTCAACCAAGATTCTGTGTAAAAATTGATCTACCTGTATAAAGAAAACAATGAACTTAAGTAATGTGTCTATGAACCAAGATATCTGGAAGATGAAATGGAATGGTGAGTATGAAACCTAGCAATGTGACTACTTACATTCTTTGCTAAAAGCCAAACTCCATGTTCACGGACCTCCACCACAGGCATCTCCATCCTTAGGGAATATCAGAAAAGGCATTCTCAAGTTAAAAAACAGAAATCACAAAAAGGGTAAGGCAGAATTTGAGGTTCTTACCTAGGAGGAGCAGTTGGCCATCGCAGCAATGCAGTTATAACACCTATCACCAAGCAATCAGAACGTAAAAGCTCATCTTACAACATTTCTTGGTAGTAACTAACAACTTTCAACCAGAGGAATTATTTCAAATACCTGAACTGTTTTTTGCTAGTGGAATTGCCAGTGGGATTAACCCTTGCTTGGCTCCAGGAGAAAGAATGGAATCACCTGTAGAAACACAATAGATTCAAGCATCTTACAAGGATTCAACAAATCTTGAAATTCTCGACCAAAATCAATACAATTCAATTCTCTAGTGACATTTAGACATTGCAAAAGCAGAAAAATATTGCATAAAGAACAAAATTTCAGAACTTGAGAGTTGAAACAACAGCGGACTTTACCTCTAGCATTGAGTACACTCAATAACTGAGATAAATGCTGCGGAGGTTCAATGGCAGCCACATCTTTGATGAAACTAATGTGCTCTGCGATACCAGGATTCATTACACTCAACACTCTTTGCTCACAATGACACAACTAGTTCGAATTTAAGTACCAAAAAAGAAGATATATTACCGGGAAATGATGGAAACGAAGATGAAGAAGAAGAAAAGCAGAGGAATCTGGTGGTTTTCCGGTGGCCGAGAAGCATGGCGGCTGCGGCGCGCGGAGAAGCGTACGCCATCTTCGTTGCCTTGACCTTCGATGACAGATAAATCACCACAGTCGCCCTTCTCTTCTCTTCTCTTCTCTTCTCCTGTCTTTCTCTGTCGAACAAGGAAAAGGAAGAAAGAGGATTTCAAAGAATGGGCCGCTTTGGGCCACATTGTTTTGGACGCAAAGGAGAGTTTTTCGAATTCAGGCTAGTCCAAATTTAATGGGCTGCTATAGATTTAGACGACAATAGATGTTAACCTGTATTATAAAAAATTATATAAAAAATAGTTTAAAATTATGTTAATTTATAAACTATATAAAAATACTGAAATAACCTTATTTTAGCTTTAAAAATTAAGATATTTTG